GAACAGGAGGGCCAGATTTGGGTTTGTTTGGTTTTTCCTCTGACTCCAAACTAGTCAAGCCTTCTCTCTACAAGGACACATCTGTCACCTACCCACCTAGGACTGACACTGCCCAAAGAAAAATGTTTCTTGAGGTTTATGTTTAGTTGGAGAAAACCAGAAATGAACACTTTAAGTGGAAAATACCTTTAGCAGACAGCACTCATCACTACACACTGACATAAAAGTTAACATTGAAGTTGGAGGGTTTCTCCTTTCACATATCCAAATGCTATCATAAAAGGACATTTTCCTTGAAGGGTTTTATCATGAGGGTCAGTCTTAAAAGAACCTATTTTTTTAAGTTTATTAACTAGAAGTATAAACATTAAAAAATAAGTACTTAGGACTGGATTAGTGATAATTTTAGTTTTTTGTGCTAATTGTATTTTCTAAAACTTTTACAATAAACATGAATTCCTCTTGTAATAAGAAAAAGAGCCCAGCCGGTGTGGTTCAGTGATTGAGCGATGACCTATGAACCAAGAAATCACCGACTGATTTCCAGTCAAGGCATATGCCCTGGGTGCAGGCTCGATCCCCAGGAGCGGGCGTGCAGGAGGCAGCAGATCAATGATTGTCATCCCTGATGAAACCTTTCTACCTCTCTCTTGCTCTTTGAAATCAATAAAAATATATTTCAAAAAATAAAAAGAAAAGTAAAAATTAATTTCTTTAAAAAAGTTACACTATGTATTTTAAAAGATTTCATTAGAACAGTGGTCGGCAAACTCATTAGTCAACAGAGCCAAATATCAACAGTACAATGACTGAAATTACTTTTGAGAGCCAAATTTTTTAAACTTAAACTATATAGGTAGGTACATTGTTATTAACTTAATTAGGGTGCTCCTAAGCTGGCCTTTGCTAAAAACGTCCTCAATCTGATTGAGGCATGTTCACTGAGGTCGACCCCTTCCAACTCTCCCATCCACACTCGTCTTGTTTACTTGTTTCGTCTATCTCCTTTCGTTCATCCTCTCTGCAGGTCCAAACCATCTCAACATACCTTCCTCAATCCTCAACACTACATCTTCTTTCACTCCACAACGTTCCCTAAAAGTAACTTAATAAACTTTACTTAAAGTTTTAAGTCAACTTCGCACTGTACGTGCGTGTCCACACGTGGTATTTTGTGGAAGAGCCACACTCAAGGGGCCAAAGAGCCGCATGTGGCTCGTAAGCCGCTGTTTGCCAACCACTGCATTAGAAAACTCTATAGAAGACATCAGAGAAGCAACTGCATAAATTAATAGTGAAGTATTTTTTTCTAGTACATAAATAATTCAAGTAACTTATTTTAGTATTTTAGGCTAAACCTCTGTCTAGATTAATGATTAATACCAGTGAAGGAAACACACTCTTGTGTATCTGATTTTAATTAAACAAAGAAAATAAAACAAAACTGATCAGTGAAATCATTGCATAAAAACCACACTTACTATTATTCTACATAGGAACTGTTTTTGTCTATACTGCTTCTTTTCAACAAATGAATGGAAGTGATTCTAATTCTCGCAAATTAAGAAAGCAAAAATGTTATATGTCAACTAGTGGCCTGGTGCACAGATCCGTGCACATTGAAAGGGAATTAATTAGAAGAAAAATCTGCACAGTAATTACGTTACTGCAAAAAATTACATGTCAAAATAGTATATATAACATAGTATTATAAAATTAATAATACTTTGTATAGAATCCCTGTGTGATCTAATGATCGATTTCCACAGATAGTTTTAACACAGCTTTATATGTATGCAATTGGTGCCAGCGAGAGCTTTATATGTATTGCACATGCACGAGTCAACGTTTATTTTTAAATTGCCAGCGCGTGTGATTATGTACCAGCCGGTCAGTTGGTCGGACGGTTGGACATACGTATGGTCAGTCACTTAGGCTTTTATATATATATATATAGATTATATCTCAATTTGAAAAAAGAAAGTAAAAATAGTTGAACTGTATTTCTTGAAAGAACAAAAATTAAACCTCTAAGTTTAGGGAAAATAAAGGTTCACCTTCTATGGGCACAAGTCACTGAGTCACATCCCTGAAGATACCAAGGTAAGACCTGCACCCCATCCCTATCCCTCACCCCCCCTCCCCATCTTTCAGGATCTACCGATCTAGGGAATATTCCTTTATTACTAAAGTTCACACTCCAGAGGTAGAGCTAGAGTTTAAAACATAATCTCCCAAATGGCAGTGACTAAAAGGGAATCAATTTGGTGAGGAAATCATCTGTCTTTATAATAATACTAGAGGCCCGGTGCACAAGACTCATGCACTGCTGGGGGGGGGGGGGCACCCCCTCAGTCAGGCCTGTGCCCTCTCACAGTCCAGGAGCCCTCCAGGATGTCCTTAGCTCCCGCCCCCACCACTGCGCTCGCCAGCCATAAGTGGCGCAGTGACCACCAGGGGGCAACTCCTTTATAGAGCATCTGCCCCCTGGTGGTCAGTGCACGTCATAGGGACTGGTCTTTCCACCATTCAGTTGATTTGCATATTAGCCTTTTATTATATAGGATGCTCTTACCGTTCAACCAAAATTCTAGACTACCTCTAGACTGTTTAGAAAAGATATTTTTAAAGAAATAAAAGTACCCCTATATTATATATAATTTACAGCTAATGCTCTCAAAATTGGCCCCTAAAAACAGAACTCTCCATATATTTTTATTAACGCCTACTAGGTAGCCACAATTTATCACACTTTACATCCTCTCATGTAATGTCCAAACCAGTTTATGAGGTAGATGCCATTATAAACATTTTACAGATTAAGAAACTTAAGCACTGAGTGGTTAAGGACTGTGCCCAAAGCCACACAGACAAATTAAAGATCCACCACGCAGATAGCCAAGTTATAAAGCTTACACGGAGATCTTAACCTTTGGCCGATCATGGTCTATGCTATGTTTGAATGACAACGTTTTCACACTTTCTGGAAATAACAATTAAGTTTTCTTGCCAGTAGTATTTAACTATAGCCATGACATTTTTTTAAATAGAGAAGTCATTCATTGGGCACTTTTTCAAATCTTCGTACCTCTAAGATCGGACTCAATTCTCCCTAAGTTATATAGAACCCAGGCCTGACCACTTCACCACCAAGGCCGCTGCTGGGACGCAGCTGAGTGAAAACCCTCTGGAAATCGAGCATTAAGGTCACACGGGGATTCTCTACGAAGTGCGCAAGGGCGGTTTTCAACCAGTTTTGCTGGTTCGGGGTTCGGGGTCCTGCTCTTTGCAATCCAGGAGCTAGAAGGTAAGCGAGTTGGGAGCTAGAAGGTAAGCGAGTTGGGAGCTAGAAGGTAAGCGAGTTAGAAAAAGCCGGCCTGGCTGTCTGGGCCGGCGGGGACGCGCCCAAGGGTGAGGTCTCCCCGGCCCGGCCTGGGGTGTGCAGCTTCCAGGCCCATC